TTTTAATTTTATAATTAAAAACGGTTCTGAACTCAAAAATGAATTAAAAATTCTGCAAAAACTGATTTTTGTGGGACAAATTAAAAGTTATGACATAATTTATTTTTAAGTAAATTGTATGCAGTTTATTTCATTAGAGCTAAAAATTAAAAAACGGTCAAAATGACCGCTACGGGCGCTCTAGTGTTAAGAGAGACGTAATGTGGCACAACGAAAAACTGGTGAACGGCAATAGTTGAAAAGTTGAAACAAAAACGAAAAGTGCTTCGTTGAGTTTCCAATCAGTTCTGAAGATATGAAGCCCTAGCGACTTTTAGTTTTTATTTCACAGTATTTCTACCGAAAGCCCCAAAAGAGGGGAGGGGTACCATTAAGACGTGTGTACGAATTTTCACACATGGATTACCATCTGTTTTTTCCTTTACAGGGGAACGAACTCTCACGGACCGTTTTTCGAGTTATCGGCTCAAATTCATGTCGAAATTTCCCTCTTTTCCGAATAATTTTTCTCTTGTATAAAAGTGGAATATGTATGCTAACTTTCAATCGAATCGTGCTTTAAGGATAAAAAACTCAGGCCTGCGTAAAAATTGTAAACATGCCCGGTTGATAGCCGATAAATATACACATGCATTTGCATATTTTTGTGATTATTTGGAAATCTTATCGTCACTCTTTCAATTTTTATGTTACCCGTTTTAACTAAATGTTACCTGAGATTCGCCTGTTCCTTCGTTATCCAGAATCGTTTATTTTTTAGGCACATATAAACATGTCCGCACTCTTCTCTATAAGTGTGCAACAACCAAATGTGCGCTGATTTTCAAATGTAAATAGTTGTGTAGACAGCGGCAAGTGAATGTAACTAGCAGCTTTAAAATGCCCGTCCGTCTCTCATGTGCCTTTGTAGACTACATATATGAACGTTATTCTTCCGGTCAGCAGAGATAGCGGCTTTTTGTTTACTAATAAACCACAACGATTATTTACAGCCCAACCAGCTCAATTACGTTCTAAATGCAGATAATATATCTCTATTAAAATTTCCTTTACCCTCAGCCTTTATTTTAAACCAACATTGATGAGATGATATTGCAAATGCAACAGCTGTACATCCCGAATGTCGTTTACAACCTGTTCAACAACTATCCCAATTAACTTCATGCAATGATTCAGCATCGTTACCTGGGTAATCCCACTCCTGGACCCTACACAAAGAACAGAAGATGTCTTAAACGGTAGTAAATGAATTTGTAAAATTCGTTGTTTTATCTACAATATTTTCTTGTGATTCCTCATTAAAACTGTGAAATTGTAAACACCATGTTCTATTGTAACGTTCTGGATCATCAATTTTCGATTCAGTTTCTATTGTTGTATTTACTAAATTATTGTATGAACGGACTGAATAATGCAACAATACCCTCAGCAGGATCATGCACATTATGATGATTTGATTTGATAATATCGGCTATTGATAGTTGCAAAGCAGAATCTGTTTTAATTTTGCCAATCATTATTTGTTGTAGATCAGTTATTAGAGATGGATTTAAGGTCATTCAACCAGATTTATTTGGTTTCGAAGAACAAAATTTTTTGTGCTAGACGTTTGGAATCTAATCATAGTTGATATTGTATATATTAATAATATAATGAGTAGAGTAAACAATTAACACAAACAGTATCACAAATAATAAACAAGGGCTCTCTTTCTATACTCAGAGTGTAGTGTAATTATAGACATATCCGATGCAAAACAGAAACAGTATGTAATTAATCTAAACGACTTGCTACACTGAAAATTCATCATGAATTTTCAGTGTAGCAAGTCGTTTAGATGAGTTCGAGAGGTGCTTGAATTTTGAATTACTTTAACCTTACGGTAAGGTTAAAGTAATTCAAAATTCAAGCACCTCTCGAATTCTGTTTAAACACACATATTATGATTTGTCTCTTCACGAATCTGGCCTTTTTTTCTAATTTTGACCGAGTTTTTACGGAGAAAAACGACAAACTCTGAGAGGTGTTCAAAAGCGGAAAAAAATGACTTTTTCTCCATGAAAACTCGGTTAAAACTAGAAAAGAAAGCCAGAATCGCGATCAGCGCGAAGAGACAAATCAGAATATGTGTTATCTCGAATAAAGAATTAGAGAGGTGCTTGAATTTTGAATTACTTTAATCTTACATTAATCAGAAAAAAATTAATAATTTCAAGACTTTCTAAACAATACTGGATGCTCGTTTCAGTTTGGACAACTACCGAAATGTTGGATATGTTATTAAAACGAAAAATATCTACAAGATTAGAAATTAGTTTCGGTTCAAATGTGTGGTGGGGGTAAGTGCGTTGCCCAAAGTAATGTGAGAGTGAGTCCGAACAGCAGTTTCTTGCTAAAGATATTTGTTTGATATTATATGATTTGTTATATCAGTTCAAGCCGATATCAAAATTGTAATAACACGCAGGTTGAAAGTTAATTTTACTTAACGTCTGTTTTCAAAAGTTCACAGAGCGATCGGTATATCAAATAATTTATTCACAAAGTGTTTTTATTTATAATCAACAGTCATACTTCATTAATTCTATAAACTATTACATAGAGCATGCTGCAAAATAACAGCCTACTAACTCTGCACTATTTCTACTTTATTTTTCATGGTGAAAGCACGCGTCTAGTCACATTTTATCACGGTAACGTTGTTATCAATGAATAAAGATAACCATAGTTCTTCATCGCCAAATAATAATTCTTTAGCTAAAAAATCAAAATTTGTACCAAATACACCAGAAATTGAAACAATGGACAATCATTTGTCACAAAATATTAAAGAAACATTTACAAATTCATCGTTCATTGGTGAAATGACAAATTTACCACTCAATTCGGATGTCCTTCTCAATACGCTTACAAATGTTGTTAAACAAGTGTGTCAGAAACAACAACAACAAATTGATTTTTTAACATCTGAATTGAAGGAAGTTAAAACACAACTGGTTGAAGTTCAGTTTCAAATGAATGACCATCAACAGTATACAAAACGAAAAGATTTAGTAATATATGGCATACCAGTTCAAAAAAATGAAAATACTACAAATATGGTTATTGAAATGGGGAATTCATTAGGGGTTCAATTTAATGATGCACATTTTTATTCAGTACATCGCTTACCAGTAAGTAAAAAGTCAAAAGATAAAACAAAGCAACCAATCAGCGTGGCTTTTTGCGTTTAAAAGATAGAAATGCGTTCTATGATTCAAGAAAAAAATGTCGTGATATTGACATTTATAAAACGTATATTAATGAGCACCTAACAAATTATAATAATACTTTGTACACGTATGCTCGTCAAAAATTAAATAAAAAGACAATCTTCACGCGCAATGGTAATGTTTATCAATACCTGTCGACAGGGAACTACAAACGACTTTTTAGTGTGGAGGACATCGATAATGCAACTGATGCATAAATTACTGTGACATCACTATGACCAAGCATGAGACACAGGCTACTCTTTTATTTAATTCCTTTATTTTCTTCTTCCGTCTTTTCTTTTCTCTTTCATATTATGTTTGATTCTAAATTTTTATTATGTAATAGCAGAAGTACAGGCTCGACGGCAGGGAAGTATGGATGACATATCCACCATAAAATCTAACACTACTATGTCTGACAGTGTACAAATTGCGTCTATAAATATAAGAAGTTTGACGTCGCAAATAGATTACATGAATGCATATCTGGCTCTAAACCGTCCAGTAATTTTATGTTTCACTGAAACGTGGTTGAATGATAGTGTTCACAACAGCGTGATAGATATTTCTTTTTATCACCCACCTTTACGTTTAGATAGAGATAGGCATGGCGGTGGATGTGCAGTATATATACGAACTGATTTTCATTCTTTGCGCCTACATGAATTTGAAGCTGCACAGTCTGAAATACTTGCGCTGCGTATAACACTTAGTAATAATATGAGTATGATTATTTTAAATGTCTATCGCTCCAAAACTACTTCTATACAGAAATTAATTAAACAGTTAGATAGTGTTTTAGAGGAAATTAGTAACAGCAAATACAAGAATGATATGATTCTGATGGTCGGGGACTTTAATTGCCACTATCAGCCGTGGTCTATTAGTGACATCCCATCGACTAAGGAAGGTATAGAACTTAATGATTATCTCGCATCAATATCTATGTATCAAGTAGTGCGTGGAATTACCAGAAATGCGTCTAGAACATGTCTAGATTTAGTCATTGCTCAAAATCCTTTATTTATATCTGATATAAAAATAGAACCAACTCTTTGTCAAGGTGACCATAATTTTATAGAATTTCGATCAAACGCTTGTCTGGATAGAAAAGACAAAATTTTACGCACTATTTACTACTATAACGTGGTGAACTGGCGTTAGTAAATGAGGGTTTCAGAGAAATTCCAATTGACCAGCTCTTAAAAAATCATAGAGATGTTACTGAAAGAGCTAAAGCATTTGAAGAGATTTTCCTCGAACATATGCATACTTTTGTGCCCAATAAAACTATAACTATAGAACCGAGGGACAAGGTTTAGTTTAATGACAAACTACGTGTTTTGTATAAAAATAAATGCAAGTTGTACTATAAAAGTAAAAATTCATTATACCACTTGAAACTCTATAAAGAAGTAGTAAAGGAATTTAAAAAAGAATGTGTTTCCGCAAAAGAAGTTTACTATAAAAAAATAAATGAGAAAATTTCTGCTTCCTCGAAAAACTGGTGAAGCTTAGTTAAAAACACATTAGGTAGAGGACGTACAACGTCTATACTAGCCCTTAGAAATGCCAATAATGATATAATAGTTGATTGTCAAAAGAAAGCCGAGATATTGAATAACTACTTTGCTGAAGTGTGTACGTGGACTGGACCTATTATCGATTCGAAAATTGCTGACACTCTACCAGAATCTGGTACTAAGATCGAAAAGTTTAAGGTTGAACTACCCGATGTTGAAACTATTTTGCGGAAATTGGACCTTAGTAAAGCATGTGCGCCAGGCATTACTAATCGGATGCTAAGAAACATGATTTTTTCTATTACTAAATCAGTCAGTAAATTAGTCCACGAGTCCTTTGAATCGACCGAATTTCCTGAATACTGGAAAAATGGGTTTGTCCACCCTATTTTTAAGAATGGCGACAGTCTCGATACATCTAACTATCGACCAATAACTTTGTTACCAGCTTTAACGAAAATATTCGAAAGATTAGTTCACGGACAACTATATACTCATTTCGTTAATAATACCCTTCTGTCGGCTTCTCAATCGGGTTTTATAGCTAAAGATAGTACTACCAACTTGCAGTGGCGGCGCAAGGTCAGTTTTTCAGGGGAAGCAATAAACTTTAAAATGAAATTACGTTCGCTATAGTCCCTTTCTCTCTGTTCGCATAGTATACAATTCGTCAGTAAAATTTTGAGGAAGCAATAAAAGTTTATTGCTTCCCCCAAGTTTTTTTAGGGGAAGCAATTGCTAACCCGTTGCTTGCTGGTGCGCCGCCACTGCCAACTTGTTATTCGACGTAGTCAATAAAATTAATTCTGGTATAGCTGAAGATAAGTTTGTGCCAGCGGTTCTGTTCGATTTTCGTAAGGCTTTTGATAATGTGAATCATGAACTTTTGCTGCTAAAACTCTATAAAAAAGGCGTTAGAGGTAAAGCTTTGAAGTGGATTGAAAATTACCTAAAAGACAGGACAATCCAAACGATTTTGGATGGCTCTACTTCTGGAAAAAAAAATATCAAAAGGTGTACCGCAAAGATCGGTTATTGGACCTCTACTATTTTTACTATATATTGATGATTTATCTAATGGCATAGAAAGTGTTGTGAGATTGTTCGCAGATTATGTTATTCTCTTAAATCATCACAAAAATGCAGCTTTCTGCGAGCAAAGTCTAAACCGAGATCTTCAAAAAATAGAAGAATGGTCAGAAAAATGGTATATACCTTTAAACCCATCAAAATGCGAGTCAAGTACCTTTTCTACGCAATATCATCACAAAGATACATCATCTTTTAAACCGTTGTTATTGAACGGTTCACCTGTCGCAGGAAAAGAAGAAGTAAGATATTTAGGTCTACTGCTATCCTTCGACTTAACATGGACAAGTCATATTAACAAGGTTCTGCTTCAAGTATCTTCTATAGTCGGTATAATGAAATTTTACAAACATACACTACGAAAAAATGTTCTTGAGATTATTTATAAGTCTCGTGTTTTATTGGTTTTAAATTATGGCTCAATAATTTACTCACTGACTCCAGAAATGAACCTCGTTAAGTTAGAAAGTCTATAGTATCAAGCGGCGTTAACTGTCTCAGGAGCTATGAAAGGTACATCGAAAGAGAAGTTATATGAAATATTAGGATGGATTAATGTAAAGAATCACTTTAAAATTTTGCGATTGCTGACTTTCGCAAAAATCATAAAAGGATTAGCACCTCTCTGCTTAACTTCTCATCTACAAATTCGCCAACCGAATGGAACCGACGATTTACGCAGTAGTCAGCGATCCTTTTTTTATATAGCTCTAACTGGTACAGATAGAGACCTTTTTACTGTTGTTGCACGAGAGTGGAATGACCTTACATTGAATGACACGAATTTATCAACTATGAAAATATCTAAATTACGCGATACTTTAAAAAGCCAGTATATGTCAACGGGTGTTTTTTCTAAAAAGTTAAGGTTTTCTACGCGACGGGAGGAAGTGATCTTCATGCGGATAAAAGCAAATTTTCCACCGCTAAATTACTATCTCCACCGGCGTAGTTATACAGATTCACCTAAATGTAATTGCGGAAATAATAGGGAGGATATCCAGCATTATTTTTTGCATTGTTCCCTATATAATACTCAACGATAAGATCTTTCACTAAAACTTTCTTTTATGCCTACATTCTCAGTTGACACCTTGTTACTGAATGGCTTAAACTTTGATCATGATACTTTAACATGTATACTGGACGCAGTCCTCTGGTATATTCAACAAACGAACAGATTTGAATAACTGTAGACATAGTAAATTTCAATTTCCAGTTTTATGATATTCATCCTTTTCTTGTCGTCTAGCCTGACTTCTTAGTTTTTTTATATTGTTACTCTTTTGTTTTTCTTATCCATAATTCCCTTCTGTGAGCACCTACGCACAACATCTTTATTATTGTTAGGTCCATAATGGTCTTTGACCGCTGACCTTTTCTTTATCAGAATCAATAAAGATATACAACAACTCTGCACAAATCGGAAAG